CTTCCTCTCACCCTCCTTTCACCAACTCTGGGTGAATACAGATCCAAACCCCCTTGGATCTTAAAACAAGGAGAAATCAATCTGGTTCTTAAAAAAGAAGCCTTTTAATTAAAGAAAAAGGTAAAAATCATCTCTGTAAAATCAGTATGGAAAATAGCTTTACAGGGTAATCAAACTTAAAGAGCTCAGAGGACCCCCCTCTGTCTTAGGTTCAAAGTACAGCAAACAAAGATAACCACTCTGGTAAAAGGTACATTACAAGTTGAGAAAACAAAGTAAATCTAAGACGCCTTGCCTGGCTTTTTACTTACAAGTTTGAAATAGGAGAGACTTGTTTAGAAAGATGGGGAGAACCTGGATTGATGTCTGGTCCCTCTCAGTCCCAAGAGCGAACAACCCCTTAAAACAAAGAGCACACACCAAAGCCTTTCCCCCCACAAGATTTGAAAGTATCTTGTCCCCTTATTGGTCCTTGGGGTCAGGTGTCAGCCAGGTTACCCGAGCTTCTTAACCCTTTACAGGTAAAAGGATTTGGAGTCTCTGTACACAGAGAGCTGTTACCCTTCCCTTTATAGTTATGACAGACTCGGTCAGAAATTCAGTTTCATTGTTATTAAAATAAGAGGCACCTCCACATAAAAAAGGAACCAGTGTGAAAGAGACAACAAAAAGGATCTAGAATATGCACTGTCTAACATTTCCCCCATGCGCTCTGTATAAAATGGAAAAGTCAAGTGAATTACTGTTTGAATTGGAAGGCAGCAGGGCTAATTACAGTCTAAATGCATGTTTAGGGCTGATTTTTGCCATTACTTTCCTGTTTAGATAGTTCCCATCTCCATTATCATAGGTCACAACCCAGAGTTTCAAATAAAATATGTGATTATAGGCCACAGCTGTTTTCAAGCTGAAGACATGTTTGTAAACTTGGCAGCTACGTGAGGAGTTGCAAGTGAATGGGATAAAGGCAGATAAACATGACTTGTTAGCTTAAAAAAGTCACTGAGGGATTATTCTTCTATTTCAGTGTCCATTGCATTGGCAGTCTAGGATTTGAGACTAACAAATAACTCTAATTCATTCCCTGACCCTTCCCTACACCTGCAAGCCACCTCCCTTCCTTTATTAAATCAGTTTGTTTCAACATACAGATACATTCTGATATAAACTTTATGATGAAACCCCCTTTGAACTAGATGATCCCAGTACAAAGCCACATATGACAAGCTGCATTCAAGTTACTTCTGTAGCACTGTCACCCCAGGATCTCAATATACTTCACATAAAATATTGGAATGATTAGTGTAGACAGCACCTCCACAAATATTGAGTGCTGCATTTTGATCTTAGCATTAAGTTGTTGTCTTGTATATTTTGTTGTATCTGACTTGAGGGAGAGGGGATCTTAGGAGGAAGTTTGAGTCATGCCTGTGTGTGGTGGAGTTGTTACTTGCAATAAACCCTTTGAATTCTATAAGTGAGTATTATGATAAACATAATTTAGTCCTAAGCAGGAAATGTGTTGTACTTCTAAAGTGTGCTCCTAAGGGGCAGGATCACCAATTTAACTCCCTTGCCTCCTTTTTGATTGACAGATAAGTCAACCAACTATCTCTTTTCATTAAGGATGAAATTCATTTCTCTGCTGAGGGCCAGTACAGGCAGTATGCCCCCTTTAAGTCATGTTTTCAGGACCTCAGTGGGATGTAAGTGGCGCATAGACCCTGTACAAACCCCTTTCGCTGGGGTGAATGCCAGCCTAAAAAATAAATACAAGTGAACAAAATCCATCCCTCCATCCCCAGTGAAAGCCTGTCTAATGTTTTTGTGTTTCTGTTATGCAAAGTACATCAGAACATTATGGTCATTAAATTACTATTGTATTGACTCACTAAGACTTTGTCTACACTAGAAAGAATTTTCCAGTATCTCTACTGTACCATCAAACCCTCTGAGTGTAGGCACAGTTTATACTGGGGGGGAAAAAAGTCTCTGGGTATAATTTATATCAGTTGTCCAAGCAAAATAAGTTATGTTTGGCTAAGGACTTTTTTTGCTGGAATGACTATGTCTACAGCAGGGCTTTTGCTGACACAGCTATGTTGGTTAGGGGTGTGATTTTACTCACTATCCTAAATGACAAGCTGTGGCGGCTAAACTTAACTGTAGACCAAGCCTGATGCTTTTCTAATGCTCAATCTATTCCCCAGTTTTTTCTCAAAGATTGAAACATTCACTTGGTCAAAGCACAGCTTTGAACGAGACAGTGCAATCCGCCCTTGTCCTTTTGTTAAGGCATCAGCAGCCGCTGATCCAGCCCTTGATTTGGCCAGGTGATTTCCACTGCTCTGAGGGATGGAAAGCAACTAGCCTGGTTTAACAATGAAAGTGGAAATCTACAAGCCTCCAGGCTGTAACCATGTAGCACCAGGCAGGGCTGAGTGGGGCTTCCCCATTGAAGGCACACTGTTAGACCTGCCTTTGGAGACGGGTGTATTCCTTCACTTCGCTCACGACAGGAAGGTGAGAGGGGCTGCTAAATGATCATTCAGACTGGAAGGGCACTCCAATCACTAACGCAATCTGCTCTTCGTGCACCTCTAGGGACACATCCTGGGGTTCACGGGGATCCCAGGTGAAAAAGATGTTCTGCTTGGTACGCCGGAGCCACCTTCTATCTTGTTCTTCTAATGCTTTCAGTGACATGGCTCAAGCTTTCATCCACTTAGGAGCCAATGTACTGGGTGCTTCTGGGAGGAGGAGGAGAAGCTGGGTGCCAAAATCCTGCATGCAGATTGGCTACCACCTGCCAGACTGACACAAAGAGGAACGAGGACACCTCCATTCATCCATACTAGTGTTGCCCCATCATGGAAAACAAATAGTGAGGAAAGAGGATTTTGTTTCCTGATTCCTCTACTCTGAAAAGGAAAGGGAAGGAAAGTGGTGACTGTGGGGCTGGGAGGGGGGAGTTTTGCTGATAAGAAACTGCCTTCTTACCTATGTTGCAAGCTTTTGTGTCAGGAAACAGCAGTTCCTTCCCAGGTATATTGACCTCTCTGAGCAAATGAACATCAAATTTGCTGTTTGCTGGTTTTCTGTCTCATTAGGGAACCATTCAAATAGAGCAGATCTGATCTGTTCTCCCTCCCCCGCCCCCTCTCCCCCACATTATAAATTCCAAACTAAGGCTCTCTGTGAAGGTTCAGTTTGCATGAAATCTGATAATGAAAGTAATGACTTTAATTTATGTATATGCAATAGATACTTTGCTGAAGCCAGCTATTATTAACCCCTAAGAAGTGCCATATATGCCGTTAAATAAATAAAGGGTTAGATTCTGTCTCTCTGTCTCACATTGATTAGTACCTTCCTCCACAAATATATTTTTTTGAAGTCAACGGTTCCACTCATGGAGTAAATGACTAGAAATATGAGTAAGGGTGGCAGAATCTGGCTCTTGATTTATTGGTATTGTTTGGTGTGTTTGTATCAGTAAATCTCTGTGTGTGTACATATGCGCAAAGGCAACCTTCCCAGGTAATATATGCATAGGCAACCTTAATTCTTGCATCTTGAGACTTCTGAGTGCTTGACTTTGCAATCTTAATATTTTTTAATTTATTTTTTTATATGCGATTTCCTAGGTTTTTAAACAAGCAGACTGAAAAACAAACACACAAAAACAAAAAACAAAACCCTAACAAAAAAACAAACAAACAACAGAAAGTCCATCATTACATAGAGCCATTACATAGAATATCAGGGTTGGAAGGGACCTCAGGAGGTCATCTAGTCCATCACATGCAACCACATTGTCTCCCACATGGTTTAAAACAGGGGTTCTCAAACTGGTGGTCGTGACCCCTCAGGGGGTCCCAAGGTTATTACGTGGGCGGTCGCGAGCTGTCAGCCTCCACCCCAAACCCCACTTTGCCCCAGCATTTATAATGGCATTAACTATATTAAAACGTGTTTTTTTTAATGTATGGGGGGGGGTCGGACTGCTATGAGAAAGGGGTCACCAGTACAAAAGTTTGAGAACCGCTGGTTTAAAAGCCAGGTCAATCTTTTTAGATCCACTGCATAGACTTCTGACTGTTGAGCTTCCAGAGTAACTGTTGGCAGTAGAAAGTTGTCATCTCCTATGTGGGCCAGCCAGTAGAAGGACATGAGGTACACGTTTTACCAGTCGGATTCCTGGCACTGGCTGACAGCAAAGGAATGTTGAGACTCGGGGCTGGTCTGCATGAGGAAATAGCCCAGAATAGCAATTGCAGAATAGCTGCTCTTGAAGTAGCTCTCCATTGTTCGAATGGAATCTTTGGAGAAATTAGCAGCCAGACTCTAATAATGTCTACTGAGCATGTGCAAATTGAGAGGTTTTGGGGCATATGAGCCGGCAAAAGGGGAGGGATATTTACAGGAATATCAAAAGGTGACATCCATCCCCATGAAATCTCAAGTCCCTGCTGCAATGCACGGAGGCACCAGAACATCTCAGCAAAACAGGGGTGAGAATGTTTTTAAGATGGGTCAAACAACATATTTTTGTGTAATTGCATTCTTGGAAACAACTGATCCTTTTTGGCTGAAAATTTCCAAAAAAAACAGTTTGCCTGAAGCAGACACCTGGGATGGAACAGTTTGGCCAGAATTGTTAAAATTTGGCAAGTTACGAACAACTGAAATGGGGTTGGGAAGACAAGGGGTAACAGTAATAAGATCGCAAGGTTACACGTGTTATTACTGCAGTGGTTTTATATTGTTTTCTTTTTAAATAAGTTAAATGAACAAGGGTATTGGCGAGTCCCTAACAGCTCACTTGCTGACCAAGGAGTGTTAATGTTGGCAGTGGGTCCTCTTGAGACTGTAAACAGTAGGTGCTCTCGGTGAAGTGATTTTTCTCCTCGCCTGTTCTTCCCTTGCTGTATTACTCGTGTCATTGTGCTTTCAGCTGATGTTAATATTATGCTGATGCTGGTTCCGTTTTGTTGCAGGGATCCCCAGGCTCACCTGGCCCCCCCGGGAGGGACGGAGCGAAAGGAGAAACCGTAAGCTTTTTTGTTCCTTCCTTGTAATCCTTTCCTTTCAGCGTGAGGGAGGCAGTGGAAATCAATCTCTGTTGAGTGGGATGTGCCTCAGGGATTTGTGTGACCATTTTAGCAGGAACAGAAACAAATGACAGGAGGTTAATGACCTCAGCATTGTCCCTTACATGTTCGCAAAGACTGTGGACTTCATAGGGATTAAGCATATTGAGTGACTCCAGGGGCAGAACCGTTACAATTCATTAAGCTGTGAGAGGGGGACGCCTGGCAGGCTGCAGTTTGGGACTTGCTGCTGCTGTGTTGGTTAAGAACTGCAGGCACAAAACTCAGCCATTTGTTTCACCCCAAAGGGCTACCAGCCTGTGGAGATGGTAGGAATGGAGAATGACTGGAGAAGGGCAACAGGGAAGCCAATGTTGGCATCCCAGTCACAAAAGCAGAGGATTGAACATCTCTCGGTGATGCATACGCTGGTAAAAGCTCAGGGATTGGGGAGCGCTGCAGGCTTTGCAGGAGGAAACTCAAGCATGCTGGATAAAATGCCCTTAGCCTGAATGTTGCAGAAGGGGACAAATGTCCAAGCATTTTCCAGCACCCTTTATAGGTGTACTTTTCTCAACGTGTCACTAATATTTTAGCCCTGCCCTCCGGGCCTCTAACCTCCTACCTCAACCACGTCTATGCTTGAATCATCTGCCCATTTAACCTCTTCTCTTACCTCCCTTTTGCTAATCTGCATTCTTTGCCTGCCTCCCTGTTTGCTGTTCCTGGTGCAGGAACCCATTGGCCAGGTAGCCCCTGCTCCCTGGTGGTAGTTTAGCTGCAATTGAGGAGAACTTCGGTAAAGGATTCCTTTGGGAGGTCAGACATACATGAACTAATAACAGGGAAGGGGTACATAGCAGAATGCTCTCTTGCTTCCCATCCCTGTCATGCTGTGTCTGGAGGTAGCCCAATTCTGCCACCCACAGTGTTTTTTGAGAGGTACTTCCAATATTGCAGGTCATTAGATCATCCCAAAATACCTTTCCGAATCAATGCAACTGTATCATATTGTACATGAAACTGATCTGGGGGTGATATATGGCGACATGGTGTCCTAACATCATAACCTTCCACTGCCCTGATATGATCGGTTCATTGCACTGGCCCGACTGTTAAAGATCACATTTGTGGTGTAGCCTTTAGAGGCCTGACCAATTGTAAATCCTAGGTGGCACAAGCCCTGGAGATGACATTTTGTTGCTTAGGAAGCTGCCTGCAAAGAGCTAATGAATGTCCAAATATATCAATGGTATATTTACTTTGGTCTGGTCCCATTATGGTCCCTCTTGAGAAAAAGCACACTGTGGACTTCAGGAGCTACCCCTTTTTCCAGAAGCTGGGAATGGGCAACGGGGGATGGATCACTTTATGATTACCAGTTCTGTTCATTCCCTCTGGGGCACCTGACATTGGCCACTGTCAGAAGACAGGGTGCTGGGCTAGATGGACCTTTGGTCTGACCCAGTATGGATGTTCGGATGTTCTTATGTTCACATGACCTGTGGAATGTGAGCACTGGAGGCAATGTGGAGCGTCCATCAGTAACATCCTTGCATCCTTCAGCGGTGGCTCTTTTTTGTACCTTCCCTAAACATTTCAAAATTGAATGCAGGCATTTGAAACCACACAACTAACCCATGTGCTTTTCGTTACAGGGAGAACCAGGGCAGCCAGGGGCATTTGGACTGCCTGGTCCAGTGGGCCCTAAGGTGAGTCTCTTCATTCGCTCTAAGTCCACACTTGTATTTCCTGCCTTGACGTTATGTGTACCTCTGGTTTCTTGGAGTTGATTTGTGATTGTTATTCTTTGCACGCTCCCTCGTGAGGGAACAAGCTCCCAGCGTTAGGATAATGCACATTGCCTAAAAAATATTGTTAAAACATCAGTAAATCCATCCATGCTCCCAGGGAGGGAGGTGAGTATTATCGTCCCCATATAACAGGTGGAGAGAGAGTGACAGAGCATAAGGCTTGAATTGTCAAATCTCCACTAATTTTGGGTGCCTCAGTTTGTGCCAATTCGCAGTGACTTGGCAATGTACAACTTACAACAGCATTTACGTCCCCTCTAGATTTGGTTCAAAGAATGTCTTCAGGAGTCTGGATTCAGTAACGCCCAGCTGAGCCCTACATTGGGAACAAGCCTGGATCTGACAGGCTGGGTTTATGGCCTCGTTCTGTCCTCATTGACACAGATCCAGCTCCTATTGACTTACTCCCTTATAACTGGGGGCAGAACTGGGTCCGTAATGTGCATCAAGCGGAAGAGGTTGCCGCTTCATCTTTATAACACAGAGATGCAGCCCGCTGACAATACAGGTGCCTTGGTGCAACACACCATCTCAATCCAAGTGGCAGCGCTTGCTGAAGCAGGTAGCCTTTGTGGGTCACATTTCCATATGAAAGATGAGGGGGGCCAGGAGGTTAAACTATAGAAAACTATGAACTGCACGTAAATGGTGTAATAGGCACAGCAGGTTATTATCTGCCTAAGAAAGGGGCCAGACTGAATTCACAGGGCCCGGTTCTGCTCCCACTGAGGTCAAGAGGAGTTTTGCCTCTAACTTGAGCAGGAGCGGGAGCAGGGCCTGCTGGAAGGGATTCAGGTCCCGTCTGGCACAGAATAAGAGGATCCATGAAGCAAACAAGCAGCGTTCATTTGTACAGCGCCCAGTAGACGTGTTAGCCAGGGAGAGATGGGCAGGCCCTTTCCCTAATTGCCTGTCACTTCCGTGGGTGAATGTTTATAAACTGCCACGGTTCCCATAGGGCCTGCTCACAAGCACACATGTATTAATCACTTGGCTGAAATGCTTGGCAGCAAACCAGTGAATGCAGGAGCAGCACAGGGGTTACATGCAGCAGCACAAAGGGGCTCATTGTGGAAGTTGCATGACAGAGCGTTCTGCAGAAGATGAATGGCAGCTGTGAATGTAGGGCTCGGCTGGGAGAACAGGGGGCAGCATTTTAATACGGTCGTTTGTAACCTAGGCCCTCTCTTTCCTAATGACTCTGGGTACACTCATCATTCAGGGGGATTCAGCAGCAGGTGACGTGAATTGAACTTGTCACCCATACGTCCTGGCCGGCTGCGTGGCTCCAATCTATGGCCTAATAAATAAATCCACGTTTTCTGTGCATCTTGAATTATTATCAATAATGGAACAAAAGCCAGATAAACTGGTGGCTTCTGTGTAATGTCTGTGCCATTTCCTCTTCCTGGTGCTGAGTTCATCATCCTCATTTGGAGTCTGCTCTGCATATTCCTTTCCCTAAGGACTCGGCCCTGCAGGGTGCTTAGCATTTCTGTGAGTTGCTGAGAACCCTCAGCAAACCTTGAGCTCACTCAGCACCTCACAGGATCAAGCCCTTCTAGAAAAGAAGGTGCATAGCTTCATGAAGTGATGACAGAGAGGAGATATGAAAACTGCCGGCAGGTATTTAATAGGCATAAACATGATTATTTATTTGTATTACCATAGCACATAGGAGCAGGAGAGGAATTATTTAGGGTAGTACAAGGGGCACGTCTAGGACACTGTATACACATACTAAACAACAATTAAGTGACATGGCTAGAAGTGGTAGGATGCAGTTGGGAAAGGGAACGTTTCGGTTGGATAACTTCACAGATATCCTGGGTAAGGTGTATGAGTCTGAACCATCTCTTAAGAGAGGTAATAGGAACCTCATTGTCTGATTTATCTAACAGTAGACTAGACAAGGCCCTAGAAACTATATTCTAGGGAACAATCCAACCGTAGTGGAGGGGATGAGTCCCAGTCAGCCCCTTACATGGATAATGTTATACAAGGTGAAAAGCTGTATCCAGAAATTCACCCAGAAGAAAACATTCAAAGCTGGTCTGCATGGGGTGGAGGAAAACACTGTTACCACATAGGATCAGAGCGAGGGACGGGGAAGTGTCACGGAAGCTGGACTCAGAACCACTCCCATTCCAAATAGTGGTGGTCCCTGGGCCAGCCATTGTAGGTCAAATGCCTCAAGAGGCACCAGAGAAGAAACGTAACTGAACAGCAGCCCTGGAGTGACTCTGGAGCTGTGCAGGAAACAGCACCTAATAGAGGATGTAAAAAGCAACAGAGGGTCCTGTGGCACCTTTAAGACTTACAGAAGTATTGGGAGCATAAGCTTTCGTGGGTAAGAACCTCACTTCTTCAGATGCAAGTAATGGAAATTTCCAGAGGCAGGTATAAATCAGTATGGAGATAACGAGGTTAGTTCAATCAGGGAGGGTAAGGTGCTCTGCTAGCAGTTGAGGTGTGAACACCAAGGGAGGAGAAACTGCTTCTGTAGTTGGATAGCCATTCACAGTCTTTGTTTAATCCTGATCTGATGGTGTCAAATTTGCAAATGAACTGGAGCTCAGCAGTTTCTCTTTGGAGTCTGGTCCTGAAGTTTTTTTGCTGTAAGATGGCTACCTTTACATCTGCTATTGTGTGGCCAGGGAGGTTGAAGTGTTCTCCTACAGGTTTTTGTATGTTGCCATTCCTGATATCTGACTTGTGTCCATTTATCCTCTTGCGTAGTGTCTGTCCGGTTTGGCCAATGTACATAGCAGAGGGGCATTGCTGGCACATGATGGCATATATAACATTGGTGGACGTGCAGGTGAATGAGCCGGTGATGTTGTAGCTGATCTGGTTAGGTCCTGTGATGGTGTTGCTGGTGTAGATATGTGGGCAGAGTTGGCATCGAGGTTTGTTGCATGGGTTGGTTCCTGAGTTAGAGTTGTTACGGTGTGTTGCGTGGTTGCTGGTGAGAATATGCTTAAGGTTGGCGGGTTGTCTGTGGGCGAGGACTGTTTATCATCTCCCTCTGCTTTTCCCCCTGAAGTACACTAGGCTCTAGTGACATTAGATTATGCCAACTTGGGTGACATCCACAAGTGCAGCGAACTGGGACTCGGAAGATTTTGCATGTGTTCCTGGCTCTACCCCAGCCTTCTTGACTGACTGTGGACAAATTACTTCATCTTTAAAGTGTCTCTCCATCTCAGAAAAGATATCTTGGAATTGGAAAAGGTGCAGAGAAGGGCAACAAAAATGATTAAAGCTATGGAACAGCTTCCATCTGAGGAGAGATTAATAAGACTGGGACTTTTCAGCTTGGAAAAGAGATGACTAAGGGTGGATATGATAGAGGTCTATAAAATCATGACAGGTGTGGAGAAAGTAAATAAGGAAGTGTTATTTATTCCTTCTTCTAACACAAGAAGTTCTTTAAAATACAGCCAGCTCTCCTGGACTCCTTTCCCCCTCATGTTATTCTCCCAGGGGATCCTGTCCATCAGTTCCCTGAGGGAGTCAAAGTCTGCTTTTCTAAAGTCCAGGGTCTGTATTCTGCTGCTCTCCTTTCTTCTTTGTGTCAGGATCCTGAACTCGACCATCTCATGGTCACTGCCTCTCAGGTTCCCATCCACTTTTGCTTCCCCTACTAATTCTTCCCTGTTTGTGAGCAGCAGGTCAAGAAGAGCTCTGCTCCTAGTTGGTTCCTCCAGCACTTGCACCAGGAAATTGTCTCCTACATTTTCCAAAAACTTCCTGGATTGTCTGTGCACCGCTGTATTGCTCTCCCAGCAGATATTGGGGTGATCAAAGTCCCCCATGGGAACCAGGGCCTGTGATCTAGTAACTTCTGTGTTTATAAATTCTTCTTACTGTGTTTATGAACAGTGCTTAGCACAATGGGGCCCTGATCTCGAGGGGGTCCTTTAGGTGGTACTGCAACATGAATAATAACAATAAACCAGTATGATTATGTCTGTATGTTCAATAGATGGAAATGCATATAGCACTATGTGCTGGGAAGCATGGGTGTTTATGTGATGGCTATCATGGGCATGTACCATGTGTAGCTTAAATACATTCTGACAAAGTAATGGCAAGCATTCACTGTAGAGAAGTGAGCTCTGCCACCCAGCTCTCTCTCACCTGCCCCGATTAAATATAAAACGATCATCTCCTTTCACAAGGACTTTTATTTATGTGACGTCCTTTGGCTGGATTTTGGGCTCTGCTGTTTTAAGAAGGAATCCCAATTTTGTTGACTGTGCATTAAAATAGAAATTACTAATGGTATAAAAAAAACCCTGAGCCGTCTACTGACTACATTTATGTATAAGCGTAGAGCCGGTAACTGGGATTATAAAGGAGGTGGCGTTGATAATTGTAAAGGGCACGTCTCCTATTCCTGCTGTAATGATTGTTTTTTTGTCAGATCACTTATCTTTATTTAGCAGCACCTTTGTGGTGACGTTGAGATCTCCGGGTTCTGCTGCAGACTCCGAGGAGAGCTAACTGGGTCCCAGTTGTTCCCAGGTTCAATCAGTCTTCATTTACCCCCAGCTAAGCAGGAGACGCTCACAGACAACCATTCAGGCTCTATAGATGCATTTCAGGAAACTCAGTGAGCTGCTAAACTACTTGGCTGAGGGATTTTCCAGTCTCTTGCCTTAGGGTCAATCTTATGCATTTATTTTTTCTTTTAAGGACAAAGTGAACAATTGTTGCAGATTTCAGTAACTGTACAGTGAAACTTCCAGGGGCACAGCTAATGGCACTACAGCCTTCTGGTAATAGTACTTCATCCCCAAAGGACTTAATCCCCCTCTGATAACTGAGGATGACAGTAACGAAATCCCCTCTGATATAAGAGCTAGGAATGCCAATACAAATCTAATAAAAGTACCTTTTTGTTTTCGTAAAAAATGTAATGAGGTTAACTGCTTGCACTGCTCAGTGAGGTCTCATGGGGACATTCCTGCTGTACTCCTAGCTCAACTCCTTCAATGCTACAAATGTTCTCTCTCATCCAATTTTGTGGGTAAATTTAGTCCTTGTCAGAATGAGGGGCTGATCTTGCTGGCTCGAGCCAGATATAATGCAAACAGGGGCTGTCAAAGCTTCCCCCCCAAAAAACCCACCCTCGCCTTGACCTGGAATGCCTCCTGCTATTCCAGTTCATGGCCTCTGATTCTATCAGATTCTATGGTGGCTTTGGGATGGGAAGAAACATCCACAGAAGAGGGGGAAGAGGCCCATTGACTGGGGGAGAGAAAGCAAAGAGAAGGTACCCCCTGTCCGCCTGAGGCCCCTCAATGGGGGTAGGAAGCCACACACACTCTCGTCTGCATGAGTCCCTGTACCACAGTTTAGCAGCTGCGCGAGGCCTCATAAATGTGCTTGAATCTATTTATAAACCTAGTCACAAGTTTGTACCATAGTTTGCCTCCCTGACTAGCACAGTTCCCAACCACAGTATTTAATAAGTTCTTTCTGTGAGTGGTCTAGGGCAGGGTTTCAGCTAATATTTTGGTGTTTTAAAATATAACTCCCCCTCTGGGCAAACTGAGCTATAGCCTCAGTCCCCAAAACGGTGATTGGTACTTGTGGAGCAGAGTCCTGCCGTGTAATGTCCCTGCCAGAACCATGCTACTGAATGATGTTTGAACTTGCATGGTTCACATTGTGAGGCAAGCAGGGCCTGCAACACCACCAAGTTCCTGGTCATTTGTATTTGAATCTTGGTCACCAACAGTGAACATGTAGGACCCCCTCGTGCACATCGCTCTATGCGGGCACACCCTGCATCTCCGCAGGCTTCTTGTAGGATCGGGGCCTTCCTGAACTAACCCTCGTTTTGATGGCTTCAATTTGCTGGAAGTATCAGTAGCTGGAAATCATCAGCGTAAGCTGAACATGAAGGCTTGTTCTTTTCGAAGCTGCAGCCTTATGAGTTAGGAAGATCCAAAACTGGAGTTAACATAAGGGAAATGAACGTCCATTGAACTAGCAACCAAATCAGTTGGTCCAACAGTGCAATCTCAAAACACTCAGGGCTACATTCACTGATGTGTGTGTCTGTTTTGCGTCGATCTTGTGGGTGGATTCCCCCCAGCAAAGAACACCACCTCCTGCACTGTCCCACCTGCAGCCAGCTGTGTTATGGGCACAACATGAGAGCTTGCTGCATTGGCTAGCCCCATCTGGCAGATGGCACCAAAGAGACTTGGGGGGGGGCAGATTCATAACTGGCTCCCTTGCCCCCCCCCCCCCCCCCGACATAAGTGCACCTAAGAACCTGGTCTTTCATTTATGAACTATGTATTGGAAAACACAAAGAGAGAGTAATAACAAGTTTGAATCCCATCTGTCACTCTCCAGCCAAACATAAGAACACAAGGTAATGCCATGAACTTGCTTGCATTGTATGTGTTTCTCTGAACTCTGGGGCTTGCTTATCACCAAGAACTAGCTTCTACTGTCAAACATGCTGCCTTTATGGGTGTGTGTCTTATTCATACTGTTTTCAGAATGACTCCACCTCGCCCAGCCAAGAAAGGGGGAAGTGCCAAATTCATGTAATTGGCCCAATTAGCAACAGCTGATACAGAAATCTGCACGTGTCAGTTTGTCTTTAAGTGGCAGGTCTGAAAACCAAGTGGTAAGACCACAAAGAGCTTGGTGTGACACCAGTGCTGGTGTCTGAACACTGGGAGCAAAGGGAAAGGTTTGAGCTTCATTGTGGGTGCATAGCTGGGAGATGGAAGAACACTCAAGGCATTTAGTACAGATCCCCAGAGAAGCCAGCTCAGCATCTCACAGGAAGTGCCTGTTTAATTCCTGACTACGTTATTTATTGCTTTCTCTTTTGAATTAACCACTTGTCTTTTTCAATGTTTTATTTCCTCCCCAGGGATCTGAGGGCCAACCAGGTCCACCAGGAATTAAAGGCTATGTCGGAGCACCCGTAAGTCATGATTCTCTGGTTACATTTTATTAGCTAAACAATCCTTGAATCTGGAAACTTCCCCCACATTTTCAATGTATTCTGTACAACTGACTCTTCCATATGAAAATCTAGAGATGCCCGACTCTCCACTACGTTCCCACAGTGAAACTTCCGCAACGTCTGGGGAATTACTTCTGACTTATGCCAGATGTGTGTAAGATTGGCATCAGGCCTGCAGAGAATGGTATTTAGGAATTACTAGGAAACCTAACATTTTGGATGGGTTGCTTTGAGCTAGCTTGTGTGCCACCGTGTAGCAGTATTCACACTGCAATGTTATAATGTTGTGTCTTGTGATGCAACATTTAATACATTGCTTCACAATTGGATCACAACACAATGCAATGTGACCTCATGACGTAATGATGTTTTGAGAAAGCTATTTTGGAACCCTTTAGGGCCCTGTATATTAGACTTGTAGGACATGGGATTACCCTGTGGAATTTGCATCAAGCCCCAGAAAACCGGGACCGGTATCCAATTTGCAACCCAGCCTCCTGGACCCACCTTAGCAATGACGTGGACACTGTACAGGCTTACCTAAGTGTACTGTGGGGTGTACTGACTTGACTGTTTGTGCAGCAGTGCGTTTAAATGGAATGCCAGACTTGCTAATGCCTTAAAAGGCTCCCTGTACTGGTTGACTTGTTCCTTTGCAACTCACCAGATAGAGGCCTGTGTTTTCGGAGAAGGTTGTGAATTTTCTTTCCTGTCATGTATAATGTTTACCTGACAACTGAGGAGCCTATAGGCCTCCTGGGTCTAAAACCAATGAAAGTAAGAAGAGAATCTGGTTGTTTGCCTAGGCCTGGCTGTGGATCAGTACAGGATCACTACCCAACTGTCCCGAAAAGTAAAGAGGTGTCTGCCTAAATTGTCTATTGAGCTGCAAAGAGGCGCAGCAGCTCCTGGGCAGATCCCAACAAAGTGTTAATAGTGCAACAGGCACATTTGAGGCAAGTCAGGAGAACGTTTTCCTCCTGCCTCTTGAACCGCCCTTTTACGCAAGGAGGACAGCTCCGCCGTGCAGTACATGCGGCGTTGCTGATAATCTGTTCATAATAACCCCATTCGTTTTCATCATCAAGCTGGCATTTGGTGTGCGCGGTTAGAGCGGAGCAGGGCTATAATCATATGCTCTGATGCCCAAGCGGGCCCCAAGGTACTAGTGCACCAGAGTGGAGTCATCTTTTTTTAACCTCTTCCACTCTGCTTTGAGAAGTGGCTGGGTAGGACTTTGCTTTCTAGAACAGGGTACTGCAGAGTTCATTTTTGCTCCTTCTGTTTGTCTCTCTCAGTGAACTCAGCTAACAGCATCTGCTGTAGCTAAGATAACATTAAAAGAGCTCTATGAATCCACGTGTTACAGGGCACCACATGAGTCAAGGAGGAAACATCTCCCCTAGCACACAAAATTAGGTGCATCACAGTGCCTGAGGTAGATTGTGGATTGTTTGAAATCATTTGGCATTGGCCACAAGACATGAGGTGGGATGGTCGGTTTCTTTCTGGTCCGGTAATTCTTAAGACCCAGAAGGCTTTTGTGACCTCACATCTGGTATAACTCCATGGCAGTACTGTAAGATAGAGTACATTTGGAGGTGCCTCGGATCTCATGAATGAAAGGCATTTGGAGGGGACACTCCAGGACTTAGTGATTCTACACTGGCACACTAAAGATGAGCACTGACAATTATACCTCTCCATACCCCTGCTGATAAGTTGCCGAGAAGACAATGGATAAGCTTTGAAAGTGAACCCCAAGGAGAACTCAAGTGCATTACATCTGCCTGACTTTCTCCCAGGCATGTTTGTGCACGTTAAACCCCTGGAGAGGCATGGGAAGGGAGGAAACAAGAGAGAGGGGGAGAGAAAGCAGAGATTGTGTTATGGAGTGGCAAGTGTGCAATGCAAACAAGTGACTTTATCCCAAGCGAGAAGAGCAGGTTTTTCCAGCTGGGCAGTTTGATCACAAATATACTGTCAGACATGGACAGGCTTGTCCAGCGTTTGATTTCACTCAAGTATGTCCTGAAATCTTAACAGAATCTAACCTGTCCTCTGGACCAAACAAACCTAGGCAGGCAGTTCTCATTAATTTTCAGCTAAACCAGCTGCACTGTAATGTGGAGATGAGTGAAGTATTAAAATATGAATTCACCAGAGTGTAAAACATTTCACACACAAGCAGTTCCTGATGGGTCACCATGGACTGAGTGTGCGTGTCTTGTTGCCGTAGGGTTTCCCTGTTGTTTGCTCAGTTGCTACAAAAGAAGTAAACTACACCTACAATACAATGTGGCTATTCACAGTAAAGGTTAAATCTCTCCCCTCCTCCCCTTTGTTTGATCACTTATAGGTTTGTCATCAATGTTATGTGTGTAAAGTGCTGCCGTCCAGTTATCTGAGACACAGCAAACCCTACGGCTCCCAAGTTAATTGGAAAGCTCTGGGTTGCACTCTGTGCCCAAATTAGCTTCAATGGAATGTCGCTCACTAACAGGGCTGGGCGAGGCCCTGTTGAGTTGGGATTATTCAACAGCTGTCAACACTCAGTGATACCTGCTACTGTACCCACTACATTCTCCTTACCCACAGTTTCTTGCACCACATCGATGTGACATCCTTGCTTGTTTACAGGGCAGATTTTTCCAGGAATGTTGTCCTTCACTGCCAGAGGGTCAGTGACTAACCCGGCTCCTTCTCTGAGGAGGAAAATATGGACCATGTTGGATGAAGATTTGTAATTTCCCTTTTCTTTTCATTTTTAGGGTCTGCAGGGAGAAAGAGGAGAAAAGGGAACTCGAGGAGACAAGGTATCACTAGAGCATGTCAGAGCCACAGCCCAGGAAAGTGCTGGGTTGTTCTCCCTCTTTGCCTTTTGCTTTGTAAATGAATGTAACATTGGGGAAGGGTGCGAGGTTGATACCCCGGAGGCTGAGGTTTACAGCCCCTCCTCGCACTGCCCGGCACACAGCTATGAGCTGAAGTGACCTCTCACTGGGGTGAAACGGGAGTACAGAATCCCAGCCTGTTCATTCCCTGGGTGTCTCTGCTAAGAATGCCAACAAAGGTGTCGCTTGGAGTGGCAGCTGGGGCGTGTGCTCCTGTGATGTGTTCACCTGGGGTACCACCCACCTAAGAGATGGTAATGACCTTTGGATGCTACTGACCACAGCTGAAACTGGGAACCTAAAGATCAAGGGATTGCCACCCAATTACCAGCTCCTTGAACCACCCAGCTTTCTATAGCCCTTATTTTGTCTCATCACGACAAACACAAACTCACATGGGTTGCTGGCTTTGCTACATCAGGTAAGGAGTCAGGATTTCGTGTGTGTGTGTGTGTGTGTGTGTGAATCAGCTGCTTTCCCAGTCCAGCGTTCCAAAGAAGTGGCATCGCTTTCAAGTGCTTTGCTTCAGGCCTTTTGTGTTGGTGAATTTCCTTCTATTTCAGGTAGGGTGCAGGGCGCTCAGCTGAGACTAATTGTGATGAGGTGACCGACTGAAGGACTCAGGCGCTTCTTGAGCCATCACATTCATCGAGTAGTGTCTTTTGTTACTCTCTGCCACCAAAAATAAATGCAGAATCCACAGTCCTCGGTCGCCTCTGAGGAGCACGCAATGCAACTCAGGAGGTTGGGCTGCTAAGGTGGCTGTGAGCTCTTTTTATCCAGGGCGGGCTGCAGGTCACTGCCCTAGTGTAATTTAAATCTGTGGCTACTCCAGTATATAAGTGGCTGTCAGTGCAGCAACTACAGATTGATGGGGCACAGGGATTCCCTGGCTGGTAACTATTAATATCCCCATTTTATGGATGGGAGGCTAAGTGGCTGGTATAGCTGGGATGAGAACTCAGTACCTCTTGGCTCCCAAGCCTGTGCCCAGACCTCCCTGATCACAGGTGTCTCTGTATTGGAGTGGCATAGCCATTCGATAAGGGTGGACATGTGTTGTTATTTGCCCCATGTGTACCGGTCACATTAGACAGCACGGAAGCCATTAAAGCATGGCTGTTCTAGCTAGTGCTGAGGTAAGGAGTTGTCAGTCCATTAGAGATATGGGATGCAGAGAACAGCAAGGGGATGGGTGCCAGTCAATTCTGGGAGTTTGGCAAGGCCTTTTTCTGTTAGCTGGGGAGTTTGACCTATGTTTGGGCTCCCTCTACTGATAGCCAGCTGTAGGTGCATTAGTAGAGAGTCATCAGTAGAGCAGCACACGTGTACACACACACACACACACACACACACACACACACACACACACACACA